GAGAGAGAGAGAGAGAGAGAGAGAGAGACCAAACCTTAAGATAATATCCAATGCTTGCATGGCTTCGCGGGGCACTGTATTGGACTGGCCGTCATAGTAGAGGTTAATAGAACTCAAATCTATGGGTTGAGTGTACTTTATGGTCACTTTAACGTTGACCGGTTCGGATCCATCGATCGCCACTTGAATAGTACACGTGCTCTCGTCCTGAGACAGACGGCCTTTAGTATAAAAGTTGGAGTTGCCGTCAAATACGGGCAACAATTGATCGCCAGTTTGCGGGTCGCGGAACAGTTGCGGCTGATTAGACATAAACTCGCGGAACACCTGCCGATTCTCTTTTTGCCGCAATTTACGGACTTTATTCTTGGACTCGCGATCGGCTCCGACATCGCCGCCACCGGACGCGACCGCCTGACCCAGGGTTCGGGCGCCGCACTCAAACTCCACGTGATAGTGGTTTACGACTATGTCTTCGATGATTAGTCGGAAATGATTTGCTATCAATTGAATGAGTGTGCCTTTGGTGCCGGTGTCGGGGCGGCGGACAAACTGTGCGCTCGCTCTGCTCGGCCTCTCATCGGGTATATACGGAACCTCTGTTATGGAGGGAATGGGGGTTAGAGGTGGACATTAAAATTGTCTGTTAGACGTCTAAACAAGACTCAAATACCTTTACTTCGAGGCGACCGCTGCTGTTGTTGTTGTGGCGGTGACTGCGATGACCGACCACTAGTGGACGACTGGGGCTTATGATAATCACCGCCACCACTAGTACTGGTGCTGCGGTCGCCGCGGCGGTCACCACCAGCTCGTTGTTGCGGACACTGGGGACTGATATGACCCAATTCACCGCACTTATGACAAGTGACTTGTCTGCGGTTACCGCCACTCCCGTCACCACCACTTCGTCCTCCAGTACCCGTCCGGCGTCTGTCCGGTTCGGGACACTCGCGGCTCATATGACCCGTTTTGTCGCAATTGAAACATGTGTTTCCAGCGTTGCCTCCGCCGCCGCCTCTATAGCCCCCCGACTGGGAGTAACCTAAATGGTGTGATATATCCAATGAATGACCATGCTCATTTGCATTACACACTTAATTGCATTTAAATTATCATTAAATATACCTTTTTTTGCTGACATTTTTTCAATGCGTTTTACAATCGTTTGGTTGTTATTGTCGTCCCATTCGTATATAACGTACTCTATTGTGCGGTTTGATTAATGTGCTCAATGTTTGTGCATGATTGTTTATGCACGTTGTAATATAAATTTGCTTACATAAATTTAAAGAGGTTGTTTATGTAATGTTTATTTGGCATTTATTTAATTAGTTTAGCATTTTAGGTTTAGTTATTTGACCTTGGTAACTAATTTTTCTATTTTGTAGTCAACGGGGAGTTGTAATGCGTAATAATGTTAGGTTATGTCACAGCGTTTGTGAATACCTTGGCAACAAGTTTTTAATGTAGAGGTAATTTTGAACTAGATTTTAATTGAAAAATGCTTAAAAATTAAAACTTATACACGAATTGCATTTTTGTATTTATTCTATAAAACTTTTTAAACATATTTTTAATAATAATAAACACGATAAATTAAACTATTTCTATTTGTATAGTTAATTGTCGTTTATTTGATAAAAATAAAATTAAAATATCCCTAACTCGATAACTATTACATTTATAAATTATAATATTTTTATAAACTTTACTAATTGTGTTTTGTATTAATTTTATTATATGTAAATAAATAGTTTGCTATCATAATGTTAATGAAGCGTGTAAATTATTATGTAAACATTTAATTTAATTTAGTTACATTCTTGTTATATTCTACTTTATAGTTAAAATAACCACAAGTTTTAACGAAAACATTTGCTCAATTATTTCATTATCGTAATTAATTGCGTAAAACATAATCTAGTTACTAGATTCTAGTTAATATGTTAAATTTAACTTTATGATTAGTAGTTATAACTTTCATTCATATATTTTGACAATGGATTCATTGAAAACGAGTGAAGTATTGCCGAAAGAGGTGGTCATCGGGAAAGCGGGCACTCATTTCTATAGCACTGGTCTCTCATTATATAAACCATACATTCATTGCCACAGAAATGCAATCAATAAACCAATTGTTGTGTTTTCTATATTATTGTTATCTATTGTCCGGCAAATTATTTCGTTAATACTACCCGAACAGAGTTTGCAGTTTTATGTATTTCTTGGTGACCCTGCTTATTTTGTTGGACTCAGAATAACAGCAGGTATTTTCGCGACCAACGTTTTTTTAATCTCATTGTTATCGCAAATTATTAATTATTATAACTATAAGAATGACATAAAAGCCGTTGATTTACATGTATTTCAAATGCTTTGCGGTTTAATAGCACCCATAAGTGTCGGCATTCATGACATACGACTTGTCAGAAAATTACTATCATTTTCACGAAAATGTATTTTTTGCGGGGAATTAATACAAAAATATATATTTTACTTATTATTACCGACTATTGTGACAATATTTGCTTTCAAACAAACTATGTATGAAATTATATTCATTGGATTACCCCATAGTATCCTATTGTCTTTAATGGGTTATTATACCATAAATATAATATTCTGGCAATTAATTTATTACTTCATTATTACATATTATCTTATATTGAAATACAAGTCAATTATTCAAATGATTGTTGGTTTTAATAATAAGGAAAATAACACTAATTTAAAGGCACGAAAAATATTATATGATTTAAATGCTTTGTTTGCGGAGATTAATAAATATAATGATATATATTGGTCAAAATTTTTAATTATATATTGGGCACTAATCAGTAGTATTGTCAGTATTCTATTGTATATATCAATATTTGGTGAAACACTAATTTTCACCAGGATTAGTATTTTCGCTATCGGACTATCATTTCTTTTTACTCTGTTATATGTAATACACTTTTCATCACTTCTTTACAATCAATCGGATATCGCATACCATTCGTTGAATTCATTGCTTATTAAACAACCAATAAATAAATTGATTAAATTAAAGGTTGGTTTATATAATATTTTAATTATTCTACATGTATTAATATGTTTTATTATATATGATATGCAGTTAATGTCATTAATTGAGAGATTGGGTACAAAAAAGGTTGGCTTTTATTGTTGGAAATTATTTCTCATCAATAGATTCCGTGGATATGAAGTCAGTATTGATTTAATAAATTAAATTTTTATTTACTTTATTTTAATATTATAGATGTTTTCCATAATTGGATTAATATTTATCAAACTTATAGAAATGTCTAAATAATAATAAAATCAATTAATATATAAATTAGTAAATCATTGAATGAGTTAAACACTAATTGAGACAAAACGGTGGATGAGATCACTATTGAAGATATAATGACTAAAATAAATCAAAAATAAAATAAAATAATTAAATGAATGCACAAAATGTATAGAATTGTTCGAAACGTTTTGTTTGGCATTTATTTCAAATATAATTACATTTAGTTTTATAATTATTAATTCAAATAATATTCATATAATTTATTTATTTCAATGCATTTGATTCGTTGTATTTATAGCACATGTTATATCGATATTAATTAATTATATTTAAAATATTTATATAAGTAATGGCATTACAATCAGTATTTCATAATAATAATAATGATTATCATTTAATTAACTACTAATCTCTGTATTAATGTCTCTATACTAATGAACACATTTATATAGATGTATAAATAGAAAGGAAATAGACATTAAAACATAATAATAATTAAAACAATTCATACAAACATAATAAACAAAAAAAATAGTATGGTAAAACTTTAAATCGAATTAACTCTTGTATTTTTGGCCCTAAAAATAATCTAATCTCAAAATTTTCATATAATATATATTTATTTCTTATGGAAATCGATGTAAATTTAATGTATGTTTCGGTAATGTTTTAGTACAACAAAACACTCGTTATTATGAAGTGAGAAATAAAGCACATGTTATGTACAGTATATATAGTGAACATGAGGTTTATTTAAATTGTTTAGCTTTAAATGCAAAGTATTTTAATTTATTATAAATAAAATGTATTTAATTTTGTTTCGATGTATTCATTCGTTATGGTGTTTAATATACACACAGAATATATTGTGTACACATTATACACACCAAATAGTGTGACCACATTATACACACCATTACAGTGAACACAACAACGTGTGTATTAGAGATAAGTACACATAATATTCTTATACGGAATCATTAAATAATTATAGATTTATAGTTATTATTAATTAAAATTGCATTTTTAAAACACACGCAAACAATGTTACTGTCAATCAATGTTCTTCTATACAGTTATAATCGCAGTGTGTTTTCAACTCAATTATAATTATCATAACTTTGAAATGATTTTTAAAACATGAAAAGTGAAAGAATGAGAGGAAAAGACAATAAGTTTTTAAAACTTTTTCATCGAATCAATAATAGACTCAAACATATGTAATTAATTAATAAAATATTCAAATAATTTAATAAAATTGCTTTTATATGAGAACGGGAGGGCCCGCCTCCTATACAATAGCTGGGGGTTAATAGTAGTCGTAAGAGTAATGCATACTTTGATTATAAGTTACATAAAGTTTTTATAGATAACGACACAAAAATAAATGAGAAACTAATTGCTATTATTTTGATTTAATTGTAATTTCATTCAAATAACTAAATCGTAAATTAAATTATAACTAAAATAAACAATTATTGCATTTTATATACCGCATAGTCAGTCAAATAACTACAAAATAATAATCATATAATTAAAGATCAAAATTAAACTCAAAAATAATTATAATAATCACTAATAATAATAAATCAATCAATCGTTTGATTGATTGCCTAAAAAATTCATGAATGAAATGAAAATCTCAAATAAAAACATAATTTTCTTAATAAAAATAATAATCAATAAAAACAATATTTTTCAATGATTGCTATGAGAGAGAAACGTGAGAGTGCTATACAGATAATAATAATTATTATAATTGTATTGCAAATTAGTGTACAATTAGCTACACAATGGAGGGGAGAGAGTAGTCGTATTGGCAAATGTGGAGCCCCACCACATAATGGGTGGCCACCAATGTGTATATATAGATGTATATATGGCTGCTATTTTGTTTTGTATTGTTGAGACATAATTAGCTAAAAACAACATTAGGGACAATAGTATTGTGTACACCACAGCCCCCGACAGGACAGGGGGTATAGAGCTCTATAGGGGTGTAACTGGTTGTCCGATGAGAGATGGGGTGTATGTTTGCGCGCTTATTGGGGTTAAGAGTGGGGACCAAGAGGTTTAAAAACGCACTAAACAATACACTATTAGGACACGGATGAGATGGGGTTCTGTGGAGAACCCATTTGGGTGAGCACTTTGTCGAGCCAGTGGAGGGCCCCGTGAAGGTGTATTTCTATCCAACAGGGGGTTGACGTCACGTCCTGGCGGTGGTATTCGGCGCCCCAGCCCTTCACGAACGACATACGAATTGTACACATTTTGGTCAACTCGTACACCGACTCAAACCCTGCGAAACAAACATCGATTAATACCCAAATGGACGCCGGGATAGGTTGGCAACACTTACCCTGATTGACCGCTTGGGTCAATAGGCTGGCGAACTCGGCGTTATTGAATATCTTGAGCGTACAGCCGGACGGTATCTTACATACGGTCGTCGGGTGAAAGCCGTGACTGTGGTTACAGTTGCGGCTCTGGACGAAGATAGCGGAGTCTGACAGACACTCGGCAAACACTTCGCCGCCCACGTAGTACAGGTGCACACCTATAACGAGTCGGCAGTAAACCGTTAATTAGTAATTTAATTATTATAAATGTAAAACAATGTTATAATCAGTGTTTGGGTCGTAACTAAAAATCCATTTTTTTAATTACAAAAATCAAACACTAATTATGCGATTGATTTGCCGATGTTTAAGGAAGGGTTCCACCAATTAGAACATGTGGTAAAGCCCAGGGTTCACATCGGGTGGCGGGGGTTAGTTATTGGCCAGGGTTTGGTTTTAACACTTTGTACTTGTAATTAAAATTAAATAACACAAACTAAACTTTTAAAAACTTAAAAAATATCAATAGTGGGAGCCGTTGGCCAAATGGAGTGCAACACATAACTAACCCCCAACCAAACACAAGACATGTGAATCAGGTGTGTGTGGCATACCTTTGCCGATATGTCGGCGGGTGTTCTCAATGGTTGAGTTGCGGTTCACGTTCGACAAGAGTCCCAAACAGAAACGATTGTTATTATTGGACGGATCGGTGAAGCCGTCGATCACAATGGAGTTGGTCTGTGCGTGGAAAACCTCGCCGACCCTCGAGTTCAGCTCGTAGTAAGCTATGGAGCACCAGAACTGTGGCTCTTGGTATGCGATCTGTTGCACATCGGGCGGCATATCAGTCGTGTCCATTGAGTTGTCGTTAACGGCGGCCATCGAGTTGTCGTCGCGCGGCGAATAGGCCGGCGGCGGTGTCTCGGCCACTGTGTCCGGTCAATACAGGGGTAGACAACAATCATTATACAATTTACATATAGAGGGATCAGAGATCAGTTTTAGATTGGTTAGCATTAATCGCGTTAACGTTAGTATAGTTTTAGTGGTAGTTTTAATCACGAGTTTTACAGTAAACTCTCGCTATAGTCAAGTGCTATGTTATCTATAAACTACATATACTATACACTATTGAGTGACGGTTATGTGTCACTCATTTCCGGTTCAATAGATAGCAGCTATTTATTTGATCACATATTTGTTGAGATAATAATTGTTATTACTTTTATTAACGATTACTAATAGCACTGGTATTTATGTTTTGTCTGTTGGCAGCCGTTGTCTAATAGTGCCACTTGAGTGCCGTTTAATAGCAAATAAATAACAAATAATTAAATAAATGTTAAAACGGTAAAAAATATATAATACCGAAACACTTATAAAAACAAAATACTGAAACTAAAAATACAAGCATTTAATTACAAAACAAACAAATCTATAGCCAAACAGCAAACAAAAACATAATTAAAACCTAAATAAACAAAAACTTGAGCAATAAAAGGGGTGTAAAAACACATGACTAAAAACATAGATGAAAATGAATGCAAACAAATGAAAGTAAAAAATAAATAAACACAACAAAACTGGTCATTACGGGGCAGAACGAACGGTGACTGCGGGCCGCCGGCTGTAGACGAGCTTATACTAGAAGCCCCGGGCGATGGGACCGACATATTCAATGAGTTTTGCGAACCGTTTGTCGATGTGGTGAACCCACTGCTCGAATAGGACACGTTGTGCGGCATTGTTGGCTCCGATACCTGTTTGGACACATACTATGGATTAGATATAAGTGATAATTAAGTCATTATTTAAACCATCATTTCATTCATAAATTTTGTACATAACTAATGCTTTTAGTGATCAAAACCATTCAAATGCTAAGCACCGGTATAAGCACTAGCGCTCAAAGCATTTTTTGATCACATAATCGCACACTAATTATGGCATTGTTTTAGCGCTGTTTGAGGAAGGGTTCCACCAATTCTTTTGGTAGAGCCCAGGGTTCACAACGCACAACACAACACACCGTAAAGTGTGCTTTAATTACCGGATGAAACGTCGGCGCCTGCGGTATATTCATGGACGAGGGGTACTCCGAATGGCGGGGCACCAGAACTGGCGGCAAAACTACATTCACAAACATAACACACAGTTAAAACACATGATAATAATACATAATACACAGCACAAGTTTGACACATACCGGGACTCTCCACACGCTTGTAATGGTACGGATTAATGCACACCTCCTTCTGTTTGGCCGAAAAGGGGTACTCGCAGTGCTCGAGAGGTTTGAGCTCGTGGTGGGACTGGAGGTCCGGCCACCGCCACACACGACAGTAGATCACGTGCGGCAAACCCTTGCGATGAGACACCTGTAGCCGGCCGTCCAGCGATCGCGGTATTGTCACGCACTTGGACTGCTGTCCGGGTTGGCTCAGCGCCCGTTCCAGCTCTTCCACCGCTCCCTTCTTCTTCTTCAACTTCTTCACCAGAGAGTCCACCGCTTTCTCCGCCCATTTCTCCTCTTCGTCGCCCTGTTTCCAGCCTATAGGGGGTGCGTCAGAGGTGCGGCACCGGAAGGGGGTAAGGGGTGGAAAGCAAGTATGCGTTAGTATTTCAATGATCACGTGTGGCCGGCACTCGTATGCCGGGTGTGTTTACTTATAAAAACACAACCGGTTGTAGTAAACCGGTTGCCAAAGGGTGGGGGCGGCGGAAGGAAGGGGTCAACACAGGGGGTGTCCTAAACAATGGTATTGTGTGCGACGGTATAACCGGATGGACATAATGGACAACATAACACATATAGGAAAGGGGTTGCCATCGGTTGCCATCAAGAGGTGGTAGGGTTTAAATGAGGGTTGTGTGGGGGCGGGGGAGGTGTGGGGGTAATGGGTGGCAAAACACGTGGTCATATTACCCAATAGTTTCTTAACGGCGGGCGATGTGAACGAAAACAACGAGTTTAATGTAGACATTG